GTAGATAAAAGTACAACATTACTTTTGGTAGGGGATAAAAATTCCATAATTTTTGTGTCAAAGTTGTAATTACAGTTTGAATTAGCTTCCAGAAACAATAAAGAAATAAAGTGGTAAATAGTGGTAAATAATAAAAAAAAAAAAATATATATATATACAACTGAAAAGTTAATTGTGGTAACAGTTGGCAAAAAAAAAAAAAAAAGAATACTGTATGATATAATTTATAAAAGTTTTTAAAATAAATAATAAATTTTTTTTGCACAGACATACGATTATATGCATTTATTTTTGATTTTTTTAAACCTACATAAATTATCACTTTTCCAATACGTTTCATTTGTACATTTTACATCAGTTGTATTTTCAGTTTTGGAATTTTTGCATGAGAAGTACAAATTTTGTAGAATCAAAAGTTTTGCTGTTTTTTTTTTTTTCGGTACTTTTGCAACAACTTTTTTGACAATCAGTTGTAAACCAATTTTTAAGCACTCAATTCTGTTCCATACGGTGCTGCAGTTTTTGATATCAATCGTAAGGAAAAGATTTCTGCAAAAGATGTCCAAGATTAGATCCATCTGTGTTGAAACGGTATAGGCAACAAGTTCAAACAGTATTCCGGGTAAACTGCATTAATGGATGGTTTTGCAATCTCAGTTCAAACTAAACTGAGTTGATTGATTAAAATTCCGTTTTCTATTCATTGTCTTCGACTATCGATAGTTCAAAAAATTAGAAGTTCATTGATCTATCTCTGTTTTGAACAGTGACCATCAGAAAGCATCATCTCCATCTGCAAATTTTTTTCACTTTTTTGCTTAATAATATCAAAAAATAACCGTAAGGCTTATTCAGTGTTCTTTGATATCATTAGAACACTACCTGAGTGATTTTTGAATCAAAATTCATCAATTTTAAAAATTTTGCAATTTTTTTTTTTTTGCTGTTTCTTCACTGAAACATTCCTTTGTTAGTGATGGTATCTCTTTAACCGGTTGTTGGTGTTAGCGGTGATAATAATCTATTTTAAACTAAACTTGAGAACTTTTAAGGGAATCTTGAAACCGATTACACATATATACAGTTTCAGTATTTGATTTGAAAATTCATTGTTTTTTAATGGAGCATAAACATGACGATGACAATAATAAACTTCTTTTTTTCTGCCTTAGTTCTTCTAAAAATTCTATTTGGTCAACTGTTTCACCGTTTCTCCGCAACATTTGAATACCATCAAATGTCCGTCTAAGAACAATATCAGTTATGTATCAGCAAAGTAGCAATTGTAAAAATGCTATAAAAATACATAGATTAGGAACTGAGGACAATAAACTACTTGAAAATTGTTGATGAAAATTATTTTCTTACTCTACAATTACCAACAAAACCTAGAACATTTTTTTTGGTGATTTTATGAACAGTGTAAACTTTCAAACTTCTATTTACAACTATCTGCTTTTATGCTACATAAAGTAGGTATTTTTATTTTTATTTTTTTGATTATTTTTAATATTTTTTGCATTACATATTAGCAGATTTCTGCAGAACAAAAATTTTCTTAATTTTTTTTATACAAATTTGCCGATCAAAATAGTAACAATTGAATCTTTACCCACAACAAAGTTTTTAGGTCGTAAAGAACCCAGCAATTTAGCGATGGTTTAAAAGTCTCAACTACAAGACTTCAGTCAGTTGACTACATATGGCTAAAAATTGTCATCACCTCATTAATTAATTACAATACTTCTGTGCTCAGTTCCCTGCCAATGATTTCTGAATTCCAAAAAAAAAAAAAACAAAAATAAATAAAAAATGAAAAATATAGGCACAGCCGTTCCCTAAACACAATAAGCAAGTCGCCTGTCTGCCATTTGCTTTCACTTGCCTTCTTGTTTATCTCTATTTCGAGAGCATCTTTTCAAAAGAACAAAAAAAAAAAAAGAAAAAATGTTTTGAACTGACGCTTACAGAGTGTCAAGTAAAATTTATTTACCAAAATAATTTTATGACGCCTAAAAGCCACTGTTATATTCCTCCTCCCCCCCTCCCCTCCCCCCAAAAAAAACTGTCTTGCAAACCTTTTTTTTTTACAAATATTACCAGGCAAATTTTGACTTGTTATTATTAGTAGAGGTTGGAATCCCCAAGGCTTATCTTACCGGCATATTGCTACAACAATGACACGCTAAAAAACTTTTCCCACCTTTATCCCATTTTTTGTTATTATCAGATATGTCAATTCCTTCAGCGTCTTCTTGCAACAACACTGTTTAGTTTCTCACTAATTCTCATACCTTTTTATACCACTTTTTTTTTTTTCTTTCTAAACCTCTTTCTCATTTCCTTCTGTCTCCTCAAAGAAAAAAAAAAATGCAGTAGGTAGTTGCTTTAATACCTCCTTCATTATTAGCACATTCTGTGTGATCATATATAACTTTTAAACTTACAACACCATTCAGCGCTACCATTCAGCGACGGCCACAATTGAACACCCATTTTTTCAAAAGTGTTCTAAATTTAAAACCTCATTGTTATAAATCTCACTAGATATTATTACCAAAAATTTGCTCAATTAGATCAATCTTGGATTACCAGTCTCAATAGCAGTGCAGCAAATATGATGACCCAATGATGAAATTTTTTGTTGCTCATAGGTTCATGAAGAACCCCATCAAAAAAACAA